GAGGGCCAGTGAGCTGGAGAAGGTTACAAGGTTAAAGTTGCCCTCAATCCCAGCCCCACGATGGGTGAGCCTTTGTGGCTGTGCCGTCCCCCACATTCTGTGTCCTGTGCTTTTCTTGTACCTGCTCTATCCTTTATATGTAGCCCCCTCCCCCGAATGGGGAGAGGTTTGTAGTCTTCTGCCAGCTGCTTTCTTTCATGTCAGTGCTGATGCCTCTCTCTCCTCCCGAGTCTCCTGCCACAGATGGGTACCGTCTGTCTCTTAAGACTATTTCCCCTCATTCCAGGACAGTTGGTTGTGGCACGGCCCACGAGACTGTCCCCGGTAATGGAAAATGCCCTGTGGTGGTAAACATGGCAACCACTCCACATGTGGTTCCTGAGCCCCCTCACTTAAATCCAAAGAGCCACATGTGGCTGGTGGCTACCATATTGAACAACACAGACCCAGAGTGATGTGCGATCCGTAAGTAACGGGTAGCTATGCCCTTAACCACACAATAGACCGATACAATGTTCGTTGTTGGAAAGGGCTTTGAAGAAAGCAAAGCAGAGCGGAGAAACAGTAATGAGGAGAAGCTTCACTCGCAAAGAAGCGAGCGAGCGTCAGGAAATCCCTCTTTGGGTGTGGAATGTTCCGACAGAAGCTCCGTGATGAACGCGACACTCCTGGTGGAACAGCTGGAGTGTGTCAGCGAAGCCGAGGGGGCAGGGGTCACAGCATGCCCAAGCTTGCAGGCTGTTTCACAAGAGTGGAGTTCACTGTGATGTGAAACCAGAGTAGCTGCAGAAACCACCCAGGACCAACTCCCATCCTGCCCCACACGCCCCTCTGCTGCCCCAGCAGGAGATCATGGCAGCTTAGCTCAGAGCTCAAAAGGTGCCTTTGAGCCCTGGAGTCAAGAGGACCTGCCGGTGAACTGGCTGGGTGGAGAAGGCCGCAAGATTCTAGGCCCCAGTGAGCAATAATAGAACCCTTGATGGACTTGAACGCTCACGTGTGCAGCACATGTTTGAGAGAATGGGACTCCAAGGGAGGCGGAGGCTGGAAAAGGCCAGTGTCTGTATACAGCTGGACCTTACTTAAGCGTCCGCTCCAGCAGCCCCTGGAAGCTAGCCCTGGCCACCCATCCCCATACGCCAATTAAAGAGATGAGTGATGGCGAAAGGCAGAGAGAAGTTTTCATCAGTGTGCTGGGAAGAGCAAAATTAAAGAAGTCCAGTGACCACAAGTTCATCGGATAGGAGCTGATAGGAGCTTTAGGTCTAAAGAGAGGGAGACCTCGTGCAAAAGGTGTGTAATTAAGTAGCCTTGGTCAAAGTGTGGTCCCGCCCATCATTGTCTGAAAGGTGATGTAATAACAAATGCATCTCTTAATTACTGTTATGGTCTGAATTCCTTCAGAATAATCTATCCAGCATGTAGTCTCTCCATCTTACATCATGGCTCTCACCTTAGAATGGTCCATCCTCTAGGATTTGCCGTTCCTGGAATCCAAGGTGGCTGCAGCTTTAGGACAATGACTCTTTGTGTCTTCATCGTAAAGAAAGCTGAGACAGCTCAGATAGGCAGGCATGTCTTAATGACTATCGTGCCTGGCAGAGTCAAATGGGTGTCTGAGTCAAAGGAAGACAGGCGGACACAGAACGAAGGCAGAGGCGTCCCGAGTTCCTCCTGCTCCAATTACCTCTCATGCCTGAGGAAGGAGTCAGTGTTTTTTCAGCAAAATCAGCTTCTTGGTGTCTGTTGCAAGGATGGTCAACAGAGGGACGTGGTCACCCTCTGTTCTGCTTTTCCCATGGCCTCTCCTTGCTGCCACTCCTGAGGGACCTGCACCCACTGTGGATAGAGTGCTCCAGCCTGAAAACACCAGTGTCCCAGTGTCAGAGGGATTGGCCTTTGGGGATCACCAGGGGGCACTGACTGTCTCCTGAGTCCCGGGGTGCCAGCCCTCTCCTGAGTCCCGGGGCGCTGGCCCTCTCCTGAGTCCTGCTCAGTGTGGGCCCTGAGCCTCAGCATCTCAGAGTTGCCCTTTACCTGCGTTCTTCCCTTCTGCCCTTGAGCCCTGTCCTAAGTGGGGCTCAAAGGCCAAAGTGTCGTCTCATCTCTTCACTTCTCCCGGCTGCCAGATACCCTTGTCCCTAGACACCCTCTTCTCTCCTCTACCTATAAAAATCACATTGAAAGGAGCCACAAAGTAAAAGGCATCGGGATGTCAACAGTGACCCAGCCCAGGAGTTCCCTAGAGTTCTCGTGACATGCCCCGCGTCCTAATAAGCAAATTGTGCCTGTGGCCCAAATTAATATTTGTTTAATGCGGTTCTAATCAAAACTCTAATAGGGCTGTATTTTACGATTGATTATGATTTACGAAATAATCAAAATAACCAAGGAAGTGTTCTAGGGGGGAAAATGAGGAACAAGGAGGAACCACTCGCTCAGCTGGATATTAACATGTACTCCAAATATCTAAAAAGAAATTAACAGTAAGGCCCAGTAGCTAGACAAGATGTGCAGACTGGGCAACTGGGGGCAAGCCGCAGTAAATGTAAAATGTCGTGTGCGGTGAGGGTGGTTTCTTATGCCCTGGTGAGAATGGGTTAGAGAACACACACTGCTGAGGTAATGGGAAACACTCAAGGAAAAATGGCTTTACTTAACTCGAGAGTACTGTACTGAACTCAGGATAAATGCAATACTAGATGACTTAAATGTAAAACAAAATCATTAAGTTGGCAGGACATAGTGGCACAAAGCCTGTAATGCCAGCACTTTAGGAACCCGGGGAGGAAAGACTGCTAGAAGTTTGAGGCAGGCCCGGGCACCATAGCAAGTACCAGGCCAGCTGTGACTAATAACAAGGCCCTGTCCTAAAAAGCAACAGCAAACAAAATTAAGCCAATAGATTCTAAAGACACCATAAATCCATTATTAGGACTCAATATGATTTAAGTAAATGCTCTACATGCAAAAAGAGAAAACATGGATTAGAATACCTCACAAAAAAAAACACAACGGAATTTCCAAATATGAAAAAAGCCACAAGAGGAAAAAATTATAGATTTGTTATTTAAAATGTAATGTTTGTACATGTTAAACATATAAAAATACTCTCCAAATAGCTAAAAGGTAGACTTTTAAAAATTGCAGCAGGTGTAATAAAGCATTTTTATAAATTAGTAACAAAACCACTGAGCACCACAATAGGAAAGTGACATAAATAGGAAATTCACAAAAGAGAGACTATAAATGGCCAGGAAGCGTTTGGAAACAGTTTAGCTTTTAGTAGTAATCAAACCCACAGAAGTAGGTCAGGGAGATGGTTCAGTGGGTAAGATTCCCCAGAACCCACACAAATCGACTTACGGTAGGACACGTCTGCCATCTCATGACTCCTATGGAGAGATGGAAAACAGAGACAGGAGAATCCCCAGAAACTCTCAACCGGCCTGCCTGTCATACCTCTCGGTCAACAAGAGACCCTGTCTCAAGCAAAGCAGAAGTCGGGAACGGACATCTGAGGTTGTCCTCTGATTGCTACACAAATGCAGTGGTAATTGCACACCTACACACACACACACACACACACACACACACACACACACACACACGGGGTGGGGGCAGCAGAAGGAGGAGAGGGAGTTTTTGTTGTTGTTGTTGTTGTTATTGTTGTTGTTGTTTAAGCATAAGGGCTGAAGAGATGGCTCACCAGTTAAGAGCACCCACTGCTATTCTACAGGACCAGGGTTTGGTGTCCAGCAATCACATTATAACTCCAATCACTTATAACTCGAGCTTCAGGAGCTCCAACACCCTCTTCTGACCTCTGCAGGTACCCATACATATATCCACACCCAAACACATACATATAAATAAAATAAATCTTCGCTCTAAATCACAGAAGCATATTGAAACAGTTTTCCTATCTAACTGCCAAAGCCTTTTAGTGGTGGTACTTCATGTAAGCTGAGTTGGGAGTCACACTTTCTCAGGCATTGCCAGAGGAAAGGCCATCTGAGGCAAAAATGCAGTCATGTGAGTCAAGAGAACCATCTCTAGGCCTGTGTCCAAAGGCAGTTCATTCCAGCCCAAATTGAGCCAACTATGATGGCACGTGCCTGCAATCCCGGCACTCAGGAGGCTGAGGCAAGAGAACCAAGACTTCAAGGCCATCCTAGGCTACATAGGGAGGGCAAGGCCAGCCTGGACTATATGAGAGACCCTGTCACAAGCATACATACAAAACAAGTGTCACATCCCTGTAATGAAATGTCACGCTGCCCCTTTAAACGGAAATGGGGTACTGCTGGAGAGAAACAAGCAAAGGACAGTGTTTGGATTGATGGCTTACATTACTCTCTTTATACTTCTTTCCCTACATTTTCTATACTCTTACATTTTTATGATACGAAGTGGTATGTCCCTGTTTTTGTTTAGGTTTTGGTTTTTTTTTTTGGGGAGGCGGGGGTTGTTTTTTGGAAACAGAATCTTACTAGCCCAGGCTAGCCTTGAACTCAAACCCTTGATCTTAGTGCCTCAGCCTCCTGAGTGTGTGGACTGCAAGCACGTGCCACCACACCGGGCTTCCTTATCCACTTTCTGACACCATGGAAACCCATTTGCAGGCCCCAGTCAGGCGTCTTGCTTCTGATGTTCCCCAAATAAAAAGCAACTTGCAACACCTTGCTTGGCCCGCGCCCCCCACTCTGCACTTCTGAAGATCCTGGTATCTTTGTTCTCTTTCTGTAACGGTGTCTCTGAACACGGAGACCCCAACCTTGTTTGCTTAGTGTTGTCCCTCTTTCTTCCCGGAGAAAAGAAGAGCACATCGGCTTTCATGTTTCCAGTCCTCACCCACCCGCCATCAGTGCTTACATGTGTGTTTGATTTGGCGCCAGTTGGGGTGGGTCATGGGAACAAGCCCAAAAAAGAAAAAAAAAATGCTAGTTTCTTTTGCATTGTGAGGAGTCACTGACTCCAGCTTTGTGCTTGTCCCACAGACATGAAGCTGCCTGGTGTGCCCGGAGATTGGTACAGTTACGATTTTCTGTGCTGAAACCGTTCTGAAAACTCCAACAGAAGACTTCAGTGTTCAAGGCAAGCCAAAGGCATTTGAGAGGGAATTAAAGCCAAAAGCCAAGAATTTCACTGTCCTGGCCCCACCCACTCCGAAAAGAAGTCATTGCCCACCGGCCAGGCAGCAATGGCAAGCAAGCGGAAATCTACGACTCCGTGCATGGTCCGGACATCACAAGTAGTCGAACAGGACATGCTGGAGGAGACAGACAGGGCCAAAGACAAAGGAATGGGCATGCCGCCATCCGATGTGGCCAAGGACAGCTGGGCAGCAGAACCTGAAAACTCGTCCAAAGAAAATGAAGTGGTAGAGATGAAATCTATGGGGGAAAACCAGTCCAAAAAACTCCAGGGTGGTTATGAGTGCAAATATTGCCCTTATTCCACACAGAATCTGAACGAGTTCACAGAACACGTCGACATGCAGCACCCCAATGTGATTCTCAACCCCCTCTACGTGTGTGCCGAATGTAACTTCACAACCAAAAAGTATGACTCCTTATCTGACCACAACACCAAGTTCCATCCGGGGGAGACCAACTTCAAGCTGAAATTGATCAAGCGTAATAATCAAACGGTCCTGGAACAGTCCATCGAAACCACCAACCACGTTATGTCCCTCGCGGCCGGTGGTCCTGGAAGTGGTGACAATGACCCCGGGGTCTCCATGGGTAAAATCCCCACGATGAAGACAGGAAAATCAAAGGCAGATGCCAAGAAAGTGCCCAAGAAGCCTGACGAGGCTGCCCCGGAAAACCACATGGAAGGGACTGCCCGCCTGGTGACGGATACAGCTGAGATCCTGTCCAGACTTGGAAGTGTGGAGCTCCTTCAAGATTCACTGGGACACGTCATGCCTTCCGTACAGCTGCCACCAAATATCAACCTTGTCCCCAAGGTCCCCGTCCCTCTGAACACTACCAAATACAACTCTGCCCTGGACACAAATGCCACCATGATCAACTCCTTCAACAAGTTCCCTTACCCCACCCAGGCTGAGCTCTCTTGGCTAACAGCTGCCTCTAAACACCCAGAGGAGCACATCAGAATCTGGTTTGCCACCCAGCGCTTAAAACACGGCATCAGCTGGTCCCCGGAAGAAGTGGAGGAAGCCCGAAAGAAGATGTTTAATGGTACCATTCAGTCAGTACCCCCGACCATCACTGTGCTTCCTGCTCAGCTGGCCCCCACAAAAATGTCACAGCCCATCCTCCAGACAGCCCTGCCGTGCCAGATCCTCGGCCAGCCCAGCCTGGTGCTGACTCAAGTGACGAGTGGGTCGACGACCGTCTCTTGCTCCCCCATCACACTTGCGGTGGCAGGAGTGACCAACCATGGCCAGAAGAGACCTTTGGTGACGCCTCAAGCTACCCCTGAGCCGAAGCGTCCACACATCGCCCAGGTGCCAGAGCCTCCACCCAAGGTGGCCAACACGCCCCTCACCCCAGCTAGCGACCGCAAGAAGACGAAGTTGCAGATTGCGCACCTCAAGGCAAGCTTTTTACAGAGCCAGTTCCCTGACGATGCTGAGGTCTACCGCCTCATTGAGGTGACAGGCCTTGCCAGGAGCGAAATCAAGAAGTGGTTCAGTGACCATCGTTACCGGTGTCAGAGGGGCATTGTCCATATCACCAGCGAATCCCTTGCCAAAGACCAGATGGCCATTGCAGGCACCCGACACGGTCGCACCTATCATGTATACCCCGACTTTGCCCCCCAGAAGTTCAAAGAGAAAAGCCAGGGACAGTTGAAAACCCTGGAAGACAGCTTTCTGAAAAGCTCTTTTCCCACCCAGGCAGAAGTGGAGCGGCTGAGGGTGGAGACCAAGCTGAGCAGGAGGGAAATCGACTCCTGGTTCTCAGAGAGGCGCAAGCTTCGAGACAGCATGGAGCAGGCCGTCTTGGATTCCATGGGGTCCAGCAAAAAAGGATCAGACATGGTAGCCCCCAATGGTGCTCTATCTCGCCTGGACCAGCTCTCCGGTGCACAGTTAGCTGGTTCTCTGCCCAGCCCTTCATCAGCAATTATACAAAATCAAGAACAGATTCACCTGCTCAGGAGCACTTTCGCGAGAACCCAGTGGCCCACGCCTCAGGAGTACGACCAGTTAGCGGCCAAGACCGGGCTGGTCCGAACTGAGATTGTGCGCTGGTTCAAGGAGAACAGATGCTTACTAAAAACTGGAACCTTGAGTTGGCTGGAGCAGTACCAACAGCATCACCTGGCGGATGACCACGGCCGTGATATCGTATCAAGAAAAGCGGCGAAACAAGTTGCTGAGAGCCCAAAGAATGGAAGCGAGGTGGCTCAACAGTACGCCAAGGACCCCAGAGCGCTCTGCGAGGAGGACTCCGACAAGCTGGTCCCCAGGGTGAAAATGGGTGGCGAGCAAGCTAAGGACTGTGTGGCGGGCAAGCCCTCAGAGGCCGCCTCAGACAGGTCAGAGGGCAGCAGCCGCGATGGCCAGGGCAGTGAGGACAACGAGGAGTCAGGCATCGTGGACTTTGTGGAAGTGACGGTCGGAGAGGAGGACGCCATCTCTGAGAAGTGGGGGAGCTGGAGTCAGAGAGTGGCGGAAGGCACAGCAGACCGGGCCGACTCGGACTCGGACAGCGCCCCTGCCGAGGCGGGCCACGCCTAGACAGGTAATCAGTCCTGCCTGGTGACTCCCGAGGATAGGGAAGTGCAGATTTCCATTTTTCATTGGCACGTTAATACAGATAGAGGGTTCCAAGATGCTGACTCCGACAATATACCTTTTTTTCATTAATGTGTTAATTGTATCTGTTGACACAAATCATCCAGATCAACCAGATATGGCATGGGCATGGTATATTCAAGTATTTCTTATCAGAAACTAGAACATTTCAGATTTCAGATTTTTTTTTTCCAGAATTTGGAACATTTGCACATATAATGTGGTGTGCTGGGGGCTGGGACCCTAATCTGAATCTGAAAATATTTATATTTCACATTTGCCTTATACACAGAGACCAAGGGTAACTCCAATGCAATATTTTTCATAATTTTATGTGTGCTTGAAACATCATTTCATGGGGTGGTATTTCCTCCACCCATCATGCTGGCATTGGAAAGTTTCAGATTTTGAAGCATTTAGTAGTTTAGAATTTCAGATTCAGAATGTTCAACCTGTGTTTATCATGTATATTTATCGCGTACAGTATGTTTGCAATACATATACATAATGGGATGGTTCAGTGGAGCTCATTTGCCTATGCACTGCCTCACACACACTCGTCAGTTTCTTTTGTGTGGCAAGTCAGTCCTTTTTCAAGGTTCTTTGACAAGGGGATGAAATAAACAGGCCCTGATCATCCTGTGCCCTTATTTGTAAGGCTGTTCTCAGAGGGGATGCCCCGCTGCCTGGACCTGTTTGGACACCAGCCTTCAGGCTTGTTCATACTTGAGTCATTTCAAACTGTTAGACCAACACACCCTCTGTGTGTATTATGGTCACAGCTGGGGGAAAAAAAGAAAAAAGAAACAAGAAGGAAGGGAGTGTATTCTATCTTCTCCTTTGTTCTTTCTTTTTGTTTTGTTTTATTTCAAGTTTACTGAATTGGAGATTGAAGGTTGTTTCTTTGCACCTGGAAGACTGGAAATACTCCTTTTTTTGCCTTGTGTGGCTCAGGGAAGGTGCTTTCTGCTTAAGTCCCCGTAACCCCTTCAAATCTGGACAAGACCTGTGCAGATTTAGACCTGTGGAGCCACAAAAGCCAGGGAAGGGAGGTTACCATGGTTACTAATGGCCATGTCATCCACATAATGGGACAGGCCTTGAAGCCCTTGGTGAGTCTGCTTCCCAAGAGGTCAGCGCAAGTCAAAACCCGACTGCAGCAGCTGACTTGGCTGTGTGTGTGGAGAAAAGGAGGTGGGGGAGGGGCACCTTGAAACCTAAGCCTGAAAGGCCCACAGTTTGGCCAGGTGAGCTGCTCTAGAGATCACTGAAAAAGCCACAGAAGGGGCCTCCCAAGATACCCTTTGAAACAAAGGTAAGACTCTTTGTATGGTCCTGAAGGAAACCCTACAGGTTTCACACTTCCATGCTGATGAACTTAGACAACTTGGGCCAGACCATGCTGCTCATTATTAACTCGTTTATTGCATGATAAAATGAGGTGCCTGGCAAATCCGTAAAACCCTCTGGAAGCTTTTTCTAACCAATTGCGGCAACAGTTTAATGAGTGGTCAACCCCAGAGTACCAACACATCTTCTTGAGGAACTTCCTGTGAGTCCGGGAAAGGATACAGCCCAAAGAGGAGGTGCTGGTGATAGGCAAGAGTCCTGAGATCCACAGGAGTATCAGCGGGTCACCTCTCTCTGGCTACCTTGTGTCTTCCCGCTCTCTGGCCACCTTCTTAGGAAGCCCTGCCATTCTAGCTATGCCTCCCCTGTTGAAACAGTGGTTTTGTTTTGTCTTGGTTTTTTGTCCTCATGAATGCTGTAGTTTGCCCTGAGCTTCTCTTCTTGATCTTGATCCATGGTATGAATTTACATGTTTCTATTTCTTTCCACCCTAGAGCTGACAATAGATTCAGTTCCATTCAACAATACATTGAGCATCCTGTATACTGGTTGTCATAGTCAATACCAAAAGACAATGAAGGGAGACAGACGGTGCAGTTCCCATTTCCAACAGAGCTCAGTTGGGCTGAGGACAGAGACAGCACTTCCCATTACTAGCCAGTATGACATGTGAGGTGCGGGTCCTCATTGGAGGCATACCCAGACTAGGCATCATGGGGGGTTAAGGGGAGAAGGGATATTGACTCTGGGGTAGCTTTTAGGAGAGCCAAGAAACCAGACAAAGAAAGGAGTTGTTCAAGCAGAAAGAGCAGCGTGGGCCAAGGTCCAGAGATGGTACATGTGAGGACCAGAAGAGGATTGGCATGGACAGAAAAGTGGTTTGGGTTCTGTTAATGATTAAGAGAAGCAAGCTGAAAGCAAACCTAACTGTTTTCTCTAAGAGGCTGAAGCTATTCTGAACCAGCTGTGTTGGCTGAATGGGGCGTGAGGACACAGTACCCCAGTGTGGGCTCAGATGGTGTTTCCTCATCCCCACAGCTGAGTGAGAGGTAGCCCAGGGGAGCTGTCCCCCAGAGAGACGTGGCCACCTGTTGGCCTCCCTTCCCCGAAGGTATACACCATCTGAGTAGGTGCATGACTGCCTGATTCCCTGAGGCCTGAAGAAAACAGAGATGGGAGATGCTAAGATCACCAGAAGAAGTTTGGGGGAAGGAGAAGGAAAGATGGGTGAAGGTTTCCGGAGGAGCAGCAACCTAGCCGCTTCTCAGGATGCCCGTGTCTTACCTAGTTCTCTGGCAGAGGCAACTCTCTATATTCTTATGATCCAGAAAGGGAGCCTCAGACAGCAGGGAACTCACCCACATTCCTCTATCCATCAGCTCAGCTGGATTCTAAAGCCCCTACTCTTCCTGCCGCCATCTGAAAGGTCCCATTGCTCTTGGTCACCCTCCTCCCACTCTCTCTTCACTGACCTCCACCTTCCATCTAAGCATGTGGAGAATGGCCCAGGAGTTGAAGTTGACTGTTGAATTAACACCAGACCACTCAGAATGGTAGGGAGTGCCTATATTCCCATTTTCTAATTATGGTAACTGTGAGCTTACAGAATATTCCTGAACGAGATACTGGAGCTTTTCAGTACCTAGTGCTACCACCTATTCACGATAGCCTCCTGATGGTTCAGGGGTCCATGTTATAGAGGATGGGCCTGTAGGCCACACAGGCAGCAGCATCTGAAACCTGGCCCAAGTCCTAACCAGAAACACCCATCAAACAAGTCTTCCAACTTAGAGAGCAGAAAAATCTCCCTAAATTGTGGATCTCTTGACATCCATGGATATGCCTAACACGTGTACTGGGACCAAGGCTCAGTTGATTAAAATGACTGTTGACTGCCCCTGTAAAAAGCTGAGCACACTAGTAGCACATACCTGCAATCCCAACACTGGGGAGGCAGAGAGCGGAGGAGCTCAGAGCTTACTGGTCAACCAGTTCAGCCAAATCGGTAAGCTCCAGATTCATCAGGAAATCTTATTTTGAAAACTAAGGTGAAGAATGATTAATGAAACCCAATGTCAACCATATATATATATGAATGAAATTGCAGCTATGTGCAATGGGAACATATACAGTAATCCCAAAATAATTCATGGTTTTAACCTCATGAAGGTGCTATCTTACACACAAGATGGTAGAAAGGCAGAGATCCCTGAAGCAAGAAGCGCCAAGGGCTCAAGGATCAGATTTTCCCTTATGGGACTGAGTATCTCTACCTGTAAAGCCCTCAGCATTAACTTCTGCAAGGCTCATGACCGTGAATGCCCCACACCATGCTCACCTCAGCCTTAAGGTTAGGCATAAAGATTACCAATCCGTCCCAGCCCTGAAGTGATGTTCTCTTGATTGGCATTATTTTTGATTGATCTCGCTGATAGTTGTCGCTTAATAAGAGGTAGAAAAATAAACTTTTTCTTTCCTAAAACTTAAGTCAGTCTGCTTAGGCAAGACATTGTCAAGCATATGCCTGAATGTGCAGTCAAATGACCTATCTTATTGCTGCTGCAGCAGCTGCTGCTGCCGCTGATGATGATGATGATGATGGTGGTGGTGGTGGTGATGATGATGGTGGTGGTGGTGGTGATGATGGTGGTGGTGATGTTGATGATGATAGTGATGATGGTGGTGGTGGTGGTGGTGGTGGTGGTGGTGGTGGTGGTGGTGATGAGCTTCCGTTTATTGTCATATACTGTCTGCTTGGCATTCTCTGAAACATATCTATTAAATCCTTTGAACCTCACCACCATCTAGTGAGGCAGGCACAGCTTTCCCTCCATCTTGTAGAGCACAAAAGCTGATAAAACTTGGAACCACCTCTCATCTGCCAGCCCAGTGTCTACTCACTGAGGCCAACATCCTCTTCAATAGTGGCACCACTGCCATAGCCTAGGACAATAAATAAGATGTAGGCATAATGTGCTTGGGTTATATTAGAAGCTAATACAACATTCTGTATTAATTACTTTCTTGTTAGTGTGATAATATACACGACAGAGACAACCTACAAATGGGAAATGCATTATTGGTTCACAGCTTTCAAAAATCTTAGTTCATTATGGCAGGAAAAGCATGGGAACAGGGCTACCTCCATCCCCAGAAGGAGCTTCCTTACAGTGTAGACCAGAAAGCAGAGAAAAACTGCTCAGAAGCAGAGCAGATATATTCTTCAGAGGCCTGCCCCTAAGTGGCCTACTACCGCCGGCCATTTTCTGCCTCTCAAAGACTCCAAAGCCTTTGAAATCTAAGATATATACATAAACCAGAAGTCCATGTGGACTGTTCTTTTTAAAGACTTTTTTTTTAATTATGTGTGTGCAGAGGGGGTGGGTTGTGCACATGTGTGCAGTACCCAAGGTGGCCAGAAGAGGGCGTTGGATGTATTGGAGCTGGAGTTAACAGGCAATTAAGAGCTTCCCATCTTGGATTCTGGGAACCAAACTTGGGTCCTCTGCAAGAACATTATGTACTCTTAATCACACAGCCATGTCTCCAGCCCCCACCATCTGGACTGTTTTATACGAGTTATACACACAGAAATTA